GCTAGTGATGATCAGATTGATGTGGATATTCTCAGACTCCAGAGTCATGCTTTAGTGACCAGCTGATCTTTCACTCAGCTACCATTAGAGGAATTTTGACTCTATTTTCTCCAGTACCACCAACAGGCCAGATTTTTCAGAATTTGCAGAGAACTTTCATGCTTCCTAGTATATGAACCCTGTCTGTTTTGGATACATCATGAACTTTGCTGCCATCCTACTCTCAGGACAAAATGTGAAATATCCAAACAGGATGGCCCAAGAAGACAGGCTTGAATTTGAATGAGCCCATGTTCTTTGGCCTTGTGCCACCATCAGGACAAACTTGGCTAAGCGTTAAGAGTAGCAGAATTGTCAGTGTGTTTTCTGCTCTACAGGGGACAGCTGTGTAGTTCCCATTCGGTGTCCATGTGAGTGGGAGGGCTCCATGTTTCCACCTGGAACTACCATCACTCAACACTGCCAGAACTGGTCAGTACATCTAAATGCTCACAAAAGTATATTCCACTCTTTTATCCCTATAATAATCAAAATTGAAGTTAGAGGGGTTTTTCTTTGCCTTTTGTGTGTCCAGTTCCTGTGAGGATGGCGTGTGGCAGTGTGACGGGGTGGCATGCCTTCCTGCCCCCCCTCACTGTCTGGAATCAGAGTACACCTGTGCTGGGGGGCGCTGCATCCCCTCCCAGTGGGTGTGTGACAACCAGGACGACTGTGGCGATGGTTCGGATGAGATCTGCCCTTCCACCTGCACCCCGGACCAATTCCGCTGTACCGGCACGCCAAGGTGAATCCAAAATCTCTTTAGTTTATCAACCAGCACAGTTTATATGTGTGGAGATTAGGAAGGTTATTAATTAAGGGATTAAGATCAAGCCTTTATCGGTGAACAGAGACACCCAAAGAAAGGAGTGGCTCTGAGGATGGCATAGTTTGTTTGCCAGCCTCTAAAACAATGTTGAAACATCTGGACACTTTAAATGGAATGGAGATTCATTCATGGTCTCCAGAGGATGAATCCTAGAGACATGGCGAGCCACTAACGTTTCATCTTATGCCACCAACAGGCCAACATTTAGTTTGTTCTATTACTGTGTGTCTGGAAGAATGCTGATTGAAATCACGTAACCAAGTGCTTAGAATGTTACAGTAACATGCTAAATGTTGAAACAGTGCCACATGTTTTGTTTGAACTCACAGTCTTTGCTACTAGAAAGCAAGTACAGTAGTGAGTAAAGTGAACTGACCCCACCCCCTGCAGCGGACCATGTTTGAACCCGGCTCTGCGTTGTGACGGCCACCCATACTGTGCTGACCAATCGGATGAGGAGTTCTGTGGCCCTGCCACCCCCATGCCCCTGTGCCCACCGGGGGAGTTTCAGTGTGCCAACGGAAAGTGCCTGGCAGCCAGCCGTGTGTGTGACGGACGGCTGGACTGTGGTTTCGCTGACGGGTCTGACGAGCAAGGTGATCTGTCCAGCATATACACCGCGTACAAACTACAACTGTCAAACTCAGTTCTCCATTAGCATTACTTTATCAAGAAAGGTGCTTTTCTCCAAAACTCTATTGAGACAGATGCTGTTATCATGCAAGGTACTCTTTTAGCTTGAAGCACACCGCTCTTTTAACAATTGAGTGTATTGTTTTCTGTGTTTTCACATGTGGGCATACTTGCACGATTACTTTTCTGTACGGTGTGATTGTGACGATGTGAGGAACTGTGCTTTGCTTGGTCCAGACTGCGGTGTGGTGTGTGATGAGGGGGAGTTGCTGTGTGCCGGAGGACGTTGCATTCTCTACCTCCACCGCTGCGACGGACATGATGACTGCGGGGACCTCAGTGACGAGAGGGGGTGTGTTTTCAGCTCTGCCGAACTTTGGTATTTGGGATCGTCAGTGGTTAAATGGACCGGCATTAAAATGCTCTGCAGAGTTTGTTTGCTCAAGAAAAGATCTTGACTATGTCCTCAGCAGTCAGCTGAATGCCACCAATATCACAGACCCTCAAGAGTATTTTATACATTTATTTTAGCTTTATTTTACCAGGAGAAGTCCCAAGACCACAGAATAAATGTTTCACGTGAGAAAATGACTCTTCAGCCCACGTCTGTTCACAACAGACTGTACTTTCTTTTTGTTTTGTTTCTGAGCAGCACTCGTCCAGTTGCTGATGGATTGCACCACTCAGTGTCATCATAATCCTAATGTTTTCTTTCTGGTTATAGGTGTGTGTGTGCACCAGGGGAGTTTCAGTGCCCTGGGGACCAGTGTGTCCCTGCAGACAGAGTGTGTGATGGACACAGAGACTGCCCCTCTGGAACAGACGAAGCTGTCTGTCCAAATAGAGGTACAAATACTAATACAGCGTTCATTTGTCTCAGCTATAAGTTAAATACATGTTTGCCCAAAGCCTTCCTGCATGGTTTGAATCAGTGATCAAATCCTTTCTGTGTGTGGCAGTGACCTGCGCTCCTGGCCAGTTTGCCTGTAGTGACGGTACGTGTGTCGCCACCACTAAGTTGTGTGATGGAACAGCAGACTGTCGAGGTGGAGAGGATGAGAACAGAACCAACTGCTACACTGCTGTCACAACGCCGTCACCCGTCACCCGGACTACGCCCACTTCAGGTAATGACGGTCATAATTTAAAGATACAGGAGGATGTTGTTTTTCAGTATTCACTGTTTCTCTTCTACACCCCTGTTGCTCCAGCTTGTAGGTCCTATGAGTTCAGCTGTGCCACTGGTGGGCAGTGTGTGCCTCAGGCCTGGCGTTGTGATGGGGAAACAGACTGTATGGACGGCAGCGATGAGCAGCAGTGCACCGCCCTCTGTGGCCCCGGCCAGGTGCCCTGTCTCAGCGGGGACCAGTGTGTGGACTACCAGCAGCTCTGTGACGGGATCCCACAGTGCAGGGATGCCTCAGACGAGAGTATCGACAACTGTGGTAAGTTCCTGTAAATACAACATGTGATAATTATGGGATTTGAGCGTTAAGAAAACCCCAGAGTTGATGTCATCAAGCCACAGAAACATTGTCTTTGACAATAATTCTGTTTGTCCGCGATAGGCTCTACTCGGATACCACCTTGCCCAGGCAGCTTCCTATGCAACAACGGAACATGTGTGAACATGTCGCGAGTGTGCAACGGTGTTCCAGACTGTCCATGGGGTGACGATGAGTTGATGTGTGGTGAGTTGTCATGAGATAAGAAGAAGGGAGGTGTGAGAATGGAGGCAAGGAGAGAAGAGATGGAGCAAGGGACTGCAGAAAGCCTGACAAAATGTTCATTGTTGTGCTCAAATAAAAGGGAAGGGAAGTCATAGGAAGTGTGCATCCCAGTCTCCCCTGTTCACAAAGTTGATGGATCTTGTAATATTTGGTTTGTTTAATAATACTTTTGGAATTTTGCTATGTCCAGATAAAACGGTCTCACCAGGACCCCCTGGCAGTAGGAACACCACTCTCACCTGCCCTGAATTTACCTGTATGGACGGATCCTGTGTGCCCTTTAATATGGTACGTCTAACACTGAGAGTATATTCGCTACCAGAAACACAAACACTAGGGATTTAATTGGTAGTGGGTAATTGAATAATAAAGAAAAATGATAGAATTATCTTTTGCACCATGACGTTAGAGGAGGTTTTACCTTCCACTTGCTCTTGTGTAATGGACAGGATCTCCTCACACAAGGCTTAGAAATAATTTGGCAGTTTTAAATAATTTAGAAAGTTTGTAGAGTTATTGCATATTGATATTATTGATGTTCTTGTAGTATTGTTGCTGGTAACAGATTGAATAAATTCATTAATATCAAGCTATGTACCGATTATAACTAATTCAATTATGACTTATAAACCCATACATTAGTACAAAAAGAATGATGGCCCTCAGCCTACATCATAAGCCACCATTTATTTAACTAACAGAATTTAACAGAAGATTCAATTTTGGACGCCACCCACTTTTGGAAAAATAGGGAAAACTTCAAGATTTGATATTCAATTCAGTCTTAATCTCAGGGTCGCTACGGAGTTCTTCTCAAGGTGTACAGGGACCTATTATTTCATATACACACAAATCAAGTTCTTAATAAATGAAATATGTATTTGACTAACTACATAACTAAACTACTAAAGAGGAAATAAATGAATAAACGATGAAATAATCCGTCGTTCGACAACCCTTCAGCGTCCACGTCCAGAGTCAAACAAGTGTAGAAGAGAGAGGGAGAGCTGACGTCTTCTTGCTTTATCTTCTTGAGGAAGAGGGAGAAGTTTATGGCTGGAAGAGCAAAACCACTCCCATCTTAACCACTATCTTGACTATTAAATGTAACCTTATTTTACCCAATTAATACTAATTAGTGACATAGTCTTTTTGTTTCATCTCAGCTGTAGAAAGGTACCAAGCAGTTGATCTAAAACCTGATCAATTAAAGAGTCAAACAATTACACCACATAGACATAGTTATCATGACACAGACAGACCTATGTAGATAAACATGTGTACCTATATGCATAATGAATTAATGGATAACATTAATGTCAACTTTACAGCACAAATTAGGGTCCTGGGTCAGAGACACAAAGGAGGGGGGGGTCCCTCCCCCTTCTGCTGGTCTGAGAGAGGTTCAGTTACAACTTGAGTAATTAAACACCCAGTTTATCTCGCAGGAAGAGTTGACTATCATGAAATGAACGATACATAACTTTTATAAACTCTTCTTTAAGTTTTTTTTATTACAATTGGATTTATGTCTTCAGGAATGTGGCTGAAACAAAACACCAAGATAGGGTCATCAAGCATGGTCGACTGAGCCTTAACAAGTGTCAAGCGTGACCCCACGTCCTGATCTAGAGCCCTATCTGCTCCGAGTATGTCCAGGTTCTACCATTAAGTGACCTTTGGGTTGAGAGAGCAGCTCCTGAAAGAGGTTTAGTCCTGATTGTGTCTTACACATTTCAGGTTTATAAACTCTCGCTGGACGTCCGCTACATTCTTTTCTTTAAATTAAAAGGATTACCTTTAAAAATAAACAAAACATGAATCTGATGTGGTGATGCGGTTTGATTAACAGTCACCTTGGTTAGCCGTCATCAGCATGCATCATATAAAATATTAAGGAATTCATGTCTGGGAAAAGGTAAGACGGAAGGCATTTCCCCACGTAAAGAAAGCAGCCAAAATGTGCTTCCCCTGACTTACATTCCTGTTACAGGTGTGTAATGGTGTGGTAGACTGCCCAGACTCCACACTAGCACCACTTGGAGGCCCCACTGATGAGCAGGGCTGTAGAAGTTGGAGCTCCTGGGGTCCGTGGAGCCCCTGCAGCACCTCCTGTGGTACAGGCTCCACAAGCCGGCAAAGAGCCTGTCCTACAGGAGATCCACTGCGTCACTGTCGGGGACAGGACTCCCAGAGGAAGCAGTGCTTCAATACCACCTGTCCTGGTAAGAAGGTGGACATGAACGACAAATAAAGCATGTTTCAGAATAAAGGTCCTCAAAGTTTGAATACATAGTTTAAAATCACAAATGTTCAGTATTTGTCTCTAAAATGTGACGCTCTCTCCTCCCCTCTCCAGTGGACGGTGAGTGGCTGCCGTGGGTGATCTGGTCCAACTGCTCCAGCGGTTGTGGTGGCGTGCAGGTCAGACACAGAGGCTGCATCCCCCCTCACTACGGAGGCCGGGACTGTTCCCAGCTCCCTGGACCATCCAGCCTACCCATGGAGATCGGTAAGAGCTGTTTGTAGACTACGGTTGCACTGAAAAGAAATGATAATGAAGGTGATGTTGGCGTAAAATCATTGGTCATAATGGCAAGAAATGTCTCATTGTTGTACAATGCTCAAGGAAAGTGTTCACTTTAAAAGATTTTTTTACTGAAAATCCACAAAAAGTTGCAACATTGTTGATTGTTCACAACTAGTTCAAGTGAGAGAGAAATGTTTGTTTTTTCCATCAAATCCATTGCCGTCCAATTTGCTGAATAAAGAAAGCATTATTAAATGGAACTCTTAATATAAATTGATGTAATCTTAAAATGTTGCTTCAAAACTCATCTGATGGTGGTGTTTCAAAATGAATCAAAACAATCCAGACCCATTGCACAAAAATGTCTGATCAAAATAGCAAAGAAAATGGGAACGCCAAGAAGGATTCAAATATATTTTTTAAATAAACTTCTCTCTTTTTCTTCCCTGTCCCGCCCAGAGCCTTGTCCCGACGATGGATGTGCCAACACCAGCTGTCCCACTGGGCTGGTGAGACTCAGCTGTGCTCCCTGCCCAGTGTCCTGTGCCCACGTCAGCAGTGGGACCACCTGTGATCCAAAGGCTCCCTGCTACTCAGGTCAGTCAGCAGGAATCCGGAAGGAAATTTAAAATATATTTTTGTTTCTTGCCATTTTGAAATTGCCAAATTCATTTTTACATTTGTCTCACAGGTTGTTGTTTTTTTCTTCCTCACAATCAACTTGTCTCTGACTTCAGGTTGCTGGTGTCCGGAGGGCCTGGTGATGAGCCATACGCAACAGTGTGTGTCACCAGAGGAGTGTGCGTGTGAGGTGGCAGGCGTGCGCTACTGGCCGGACCAGCAGATGAAGGTGGACTGTGAGATTTGTGTCTGTGAGAGGGGAAGGACGCAGAGATGCCGGCCTAACCCGGACTGTTCAGGTGAGTCCGTCAAACACACAGGCTCATTGAATCCGCTGTAAACTCTTGTCGACGTGCTGGTTATCGTTCTACCGCAGTGCACTGTGGCTGGTCGTCGTGGACTGAGTGGGGAGAGTGTTTGGGGCCCTGTGGTGTTCAGAGTGTCCAGTGGTCGTTCCGGAGCCCAAACAACCCCATCAAGCATGGAGACGGGAGATCATGCAGAGGAATATACAGGAAGGCCCGCCGGTATGTAGCCCTGTCCTCATGGGACTGTTCACTACTGTTACTGTTTCTACTGCAATGATACACTACTACTCTTGGGTATTCATGGCAGGTTTCTTTAAAAGCAATGGCCCAATTTCCAATCTGCTGTGGGTATTTATGGTCCCCAGAGGATAATCTGCTGATGTGTTTGGTGACCCCACCCAACTTCTTTGTTAGTGCCACCATCACAACGAATTTCTAATGGATTAAAAATGTAATGACATTTATTCTAACCAAAGAATTAGACTTAGGCCCCTTCACCCTTCTGGACTTGAGCCATCACCCAACATTAACCTAAATGCTTTGCTGTGTACACGAGATATTAAGACAAACCTTTGAGTTAAGTTTGGTGTGGGTATTTGTTGTCCACAGAGGTTGAACCCTTCTGCTCCCGATAACCCCGATTACCACCTCAAGGCACTTGAACATAACCTCTCAAAATCAAATGAGCAGTTTAAATCACAATACTTCATGCTCTCCACATGAGCTCTTGTCAGTTTGGTGCACATTTTACTTACTGACAGTATTGCAATATTTACTGTATATTGTCATGATCCCTCAAAAACTATTGAAGTTGACAAACTGTCCTTGGCCATCATCTACGTCTTACACCACTGTGAGCTTCCCTTAGTTTTTGTCTTATTGGCTAACACCATGCACTTGTGAGCAAACACACATGCCTTCCATGACTCAGCATGCATTTTCCATATTTCTGTGCGTGTGTGTGTGTGTGTGTGTGTGTGTGTGTGTGTGCAGGTGTCAGACAGACCCGTGTGATGAGTGTAAGTACCAGGGTCAGTCCCATGCTGTGGGAGACAGATGGAGGTCAGACCACTGCCAGTTATGTCACTGTCTGCCCAACCTGACAGTGCAGTGTTCCCCCTACTGTCCATACGCTCTCAGTGGATGTCCTCAGGTACGAGTAGAACTGTGTGTGTGTGTGTGTGTGTGTGTGTGTTTGTCATGACCATTTACACATTTGAAAAATCTGCACTCACTGTATTTGCTGCTTGAGTATGTGCCCATGTTTTATGGAAATATGACGCAGTAAAGTGGAACATTTGCACATTTAATTGAGCATGTGACTGTGGGCTTAAATGTATCTGCGTTGCTTATCTCTTATCTGGCGACAGCTCTGCCTCCTCTGCACCCTTTGCTTTTCCTCTACATAGTCATGTCCCATAGCAGCTCTCCCACACCTATGACAGAGGCACATGTTGAATGTTGGTTTGTTTGTGCAGGGCCAAAGTCTGGTGCCTGGAGAGGGAGACAGGTGCTGCTACTGTCAAGGTAAAATCAGAGCTGTTGTTCTGCTATCTGCACTTCCTGTTTAATGATGAATGCAATCGTTTTCCTACCAACTAATTGCACTTCGTGGTTACTAATGTTGTCAGAGTGGTCAGAGATGACGTTGCTCCCAATAAATGATAGGAACTATTATGTTTTTCTGTATTTGTGCCCCACTGGAGGGAGTGTTTTATTTTGCTTGTTATCCATATACGTGTCCACAAGTTCTCCTAATTCAGGGCAGAGAGGGGACCCCTTACTCCTTTCTTCTTCTTCTGACCACAGACATATCTCACATGTTCAAAAGACTGTTTACTGTACTCGCTCAAGAAATCTCAAAATATGAGACCCAGCATTTTATCAAACACGACCTTAGTCAAAATGTCAAACTTCATAGAAATGTAAATGTGGTAGTTTGTTTATATTTTGTATGAACTTAAAGATGCATACAGAGCTTTTGAAGATGAAGTAAATGAGATGAGAAGTCGAATGAAATCTATATAAAGATTGCAGCACTCCAGATATAAGGTGCAGTTCATTGTTGCACACATTGCGCTGATAAAGTGAATGTCCTCCGACATTAATCTTTCCGTTCTTCAACACCTCTGTAGGAGGAAATGACACCATTCTTGTGACAGTTAGCCCCATCACTGTGACCTCCCAGCCAGCAGAGGGCACTACACCTCTGGTTCCCACCTATCCTCTTCCCGCTGGAGGTTTGTGTATTTTTGATGATCAGTTAGTCATGCAGATTCTCTGGTCGGGCTTTTGAGTCTTGAAGCATCTATGATTGTTATCCCTGTGTTTATCTACTTGCACTCACTGCAATTTTCATAGAATTTCACCTCCTCTTCTATGGTCAGGTGAGTGTTGGTCTCCTCTGGGTGTTCAGACTCTCCCAGCCTCCAGTTTCAGTGCCTCGTCACAGCAGACTGGTCACCCCCCTGAGGCAGGTCGCCTGCATTGGTGGGACCCCCATGGAGACCTCCAGGTATGTCAAGACACTAGATTTGTACAATAAGGCCTGACTGTACTGTTCATCCTGGTGAAACATCCAAATGGAGTAAGCAACAAAATGGTTGACAATTTCGTGACATTACAAATATATAAAAAAAAGAATAAATCGTTCATGCTGCTGCAACACGAACGTGACGTGTAATCTGCAAAGTGTTTATCTGCAGGGTTGGAGTCCAGAACCCGATGAGTATAAGGACCTACCACACCGGAGCCCTGAGGGACACACGAGCAGCACACAGAGCCCATACCTCCAGACGGACCTGCTGACACTATACAACGTCACTGGTAAACATGCACGCAGCTGCCTTAGAACAAGCTCAGATTGAAATGCTGGTTCACCAAACACAAACTCCCATGTAATATTATGCTGCAGTAGAAGAAGGTGAATGCTTTCTCTCCCTCCTGTAGGTGTGCTAACCCAGGGTGGTGGTGTGTTCGGCACCTTTGTGTCCAGCTTCTACCTCCAGTTCAGCCAGGATGGCCGACAGTGGTACACTTACAAAGAGCTCATTACGGACGCCCGGCCCAGAGCCAAGGTTACACATCACACCCAAGTCCATGCAACTTCCCATCCCGTACATCCAAGGATACTTGCCATTGTTTTGTCATATTTTGCCATTCTGTTTCCAGGTTTTTCATGGTAACCATAATGACCGAGGGGTGGCAGAGATCCGGCTGGACAGGATGGTGTCGGCTCGGTTCGTCCGCCTGCTGCCACACGACTTCCAGAACGGCATCTACCTTCGACTTGAGATCATGGGCTGTGGAGATGGTCAGTGCATAGCTCAATGCTGCTCTGCTGGTGTTATGTGATGGGATTCTAAAATGCTCTCCTCTCCTCCAGGTTTTCCTTAAACAGGATTTATAAGTCACACACACCAAAGCTGAGCGTAGAAATCCTTTTGACTAATTCTGACCATTCCCCTCATGCAGGTGCGCAGCCATCCACTACAGCCATCATACCACTCAGCTGCCCTGCTGGTCAGTTCTCCTGCCCCCCACCAGGGGGCTGCATCGAGGCAGGGCTGCGCTGTGATGGGATCCCCCACTGTCCAAAAGGAGAGGACGAAACCGGCTGCCATTCTCATGACATCACCACCCAGTCAGACAGGTAGAGGGCATTATTATTAGTGGTAATGGTCGTTGAAGTTATTGTGATAATTGATAAATCATGTTATTAATGCACTCCTGTATTCTGCTCCTTACTTTTGTATCTCATCTCTGTTCATCCAGCTCCTCTTTCACTCTTCCTTGGTGTTGACAGTATTCAAGAAGGATTCTAGGTATTTTCTCCTCTTCATTGTTGTGTGCTTATTTACAGGCCGTACACACCCAGCCCTGCTCCTCTCAGGACTCCACCCAAGACTGCTGTCACTCATCCTGCAGTAACATCAACGGTGAGACAGCACTCCAACTTCTTCACGCCTTATATACACATCTTTTCTTTCTAATGTAATCTAAATGAAAGAGTAATGGATTAGCAAAGGCTCTACCAGATATGATGCATATGAGTCAAACTGGATTCATTAACAATAGATACATACAACTACAAGAACACGCTGCAGCATCATACAACACAGACACGTCTATCAGGGATCACTGTGGATGCTGAGAAATCATGTGGTGATCGTGAATGGCCTTATTTGTTTAAAGTCAAGTCAAGATGATACATTTTTTAATACTGCTTTGTAAATACTCTACAGATAACATTTCCACTATTAATGTATTGTCTGTGGGATTCATTTTCCACCCCTCTGTGATCTAGCAATAGAACTGCTTGCAGAGCGAATTAAAATAGCCAAAGATTTCAGATGTTACTATCGGCACATATCAATATATATACTTCATTTATTGTCTGATGTTTTCACAGGATGGTGGCCCAGGATATCGTGGTGAGTGTTAAAGGCAGTTTTCATGTTTTGAGAGCAGCAGCCTCTGTTAATGTCTTCTAAAACATATTCAAATATTCCTGCAGATCTATTGCTCTAATGTGTTGTGTTTGAAGCGTTCAGTTTGCCAGACTGGCTCTGTTGGACGCTGTTAAAATGTACATCATATTCTGCAGCCATCTGCTCCTCTCCCCTTGGACTGGAGGACGGGAGGATTCGATACGGTCAGCTGACGGCATCCTCGCACCGCGAGAACAACCCTGCTGATGCTGGACGACTAAACATCGTCCCTAACGTGTGAGCGATCTAATCTTTGATTGGTAGTCGTCCCTTAAGTGTACACTGGCAGGAACATTCCACGTGTTCTTTTGCATGTACTTAAAAGTCTAAAATATAAAGAATTCAGAAAGAAATAACAAAGCACATCATCCTCTGTGCAGTCAGGTTATGGAGCCTGGATGGAGCCCCTTACCTGCAGATCCCCAACCCTTTTTCCAGGTGGACTTCCTGGAGCCCACATGGGTATCAGGGGTGGTGACCCAGGTCAGTGAACGCATGTGGGGTTACCTCACTAAATACCGCCTGGCCTTCGCCCTGCACAGCAGCCTCTTCACAGACTATACTGAGGATGGGAATCCTGGAAGCCCAGCTAAGGTATTTGTACTAATGTGGACATTTAGTATCTTATTGAGCATCAAATGTTTTCTGTATTTACATAGATCCTCATATGAATGGGGGAGAAAAAGACAAATCTGATGCATTATTCTAGACATTAGATGTGCTCATGTGGAATTGCCCTGTCGGTTGTGGTGAAGGTGTTTGAGGTGCGGATGGCGGGCAGGAACCCGGTGACCCGCTGGCTCGGTCGGCTGGTCAGAGCTCGCTACCTGCGCATCATCTCTGTGGAGTTCAGACACACCTTCTACCTGCGTGTGGAGATCCTCGGCTGCAGAGGAGGTGAGGAATTCAACAGACTGCACAACGAAATCATTCCTCTTGTGTACTACCTCATCTTTGCTTTACAGAACTAGTGAGTCGACTTCTCAATCGTGTTATTAATGAAGCAACCTTTCCTCCTGCTCTCCCAGATGAGCTGGTGACCCCCAGCAGCGGGACCACGTCTCCCTCTGGTGGTGGGACAGTGACCGTACGGCACTGTGAGCCAGGCCTGTTTGCATGCCTGCACAGTGGAGAGTGCGTCCCCGTCTCTGTGCTTTGTGACGGTCGAGCGGACTGCAAGGACCACTCTGACGAGATCAACTGTGGTGAGGCCTGAGCCATATTCGGTCATGTACATATTTCTTTCTCTTCTTTTGTGTCCTGCTACATGATTAAGTGATTCAAAACTATTTACATTTGACAGTTTATTTGACAATTGAGTTAAGATATATACAGCTTCTTCATGATCTTCCTTGTGTTCCATTTTCTTTTATCCGTGTCTGTCTTTATTTATGTCCCAGGCGCCCCAGGCCTCCACACCACCAGGTCCCAGGGTGGCCTTCCTGGCGTGGCTACCCCAGGGGTCACAGGTCAAACTGGACTCCAGAAGACGACAACCTCAAGTACAGGTAAAATGTGCTGTTGATCAAATCTACTCTGCTCATTGTTGTTGGCTTCTTACCAAAGTCCCCCCCCCCTTTTTTTGTCTGTTTGCAAGTCACATTTAATCATTTCAAACCATCCATCTACCCAGGGGTCACCACAGGTCAACCTGGGCTGCATCTCACCACAACCCGCCATTCCGGAAAACCTGGGTTGCAAACCACAAAAGGCGAGACAGCCTTGCTGGTTCTCCTACAACACTTTATACAAAATAAACATATACTGTAACCACTGTTTTACTTTCACTTACAGCCCCGTGGGCCGCTACAACTCTGTACGATGGCGGCCTACCCAGAGTGCTTTGCATGGAGGGCCAGTTTGCGTGCCGCTCTTTTGGCTGTGTTGACTCGGCACAGGTGTGTGACGGCAGACGGGACTGTTTGGACGGGTCAGATGAGGAAGGCTGTGGTATGCATCGACAACCTGTCAGGGGGCAGACTAGAATGGAAATAGAATGACTTCACTTTTACTCACATTTAAATGTAGAAGAGGTGATATTGATGATATTGGAGGTACATAGTTACACGATGGCCTTCACACGCATGTTAAATAGGACGTGAAATGAAAGAAAATACTTTGAAATAAAGGAATGTGTAATTCCTGGAATAAAATGAATTGAACAAAGTTCTGTTATTGTATACCAATGTGTTATCAGGCACCACAGCCAGACCAGCGGTGACTTCACAAGGTCCCCATGTGCCCAGCCCCTGCTCCCCCAAGCAGTTCTCTTGTGACAGTGGGGAGTGCGTTCACCTGGACCGGAGGTGTGACCTGCAGACGGACTGTGTGGACGGATCGGACGAGAGAGACTGTGGTAAAATACAAGCCCACCTCAAAAGTGGTAATAAGACAGAATAGAACAGGGAAATGCTGAATTGTTTTCCTCTCCTCTTCTCTAGTGGACTGCATCATATCCAAGTGGACAGCGTGGAGCGTGTGCAGTGTGTCCTGTGGTCTGGGCTCCTTGTTCCGGCAGAGGGACATCCTGAGGGAAGCTCTGCCCGGAGGGACCTGTGGTAGAGCTCAGTTTGACAGTCGAGCCTGTTTCCCTCGAGCGTGTCCAGGTCTGTTCTCTGAACCTGATGTCAAACAGGACACATCTTTCATAAGCGCTCGGTCTCTGATTTAATAGTTGTCTCAATCTCATTCTCTCCTGTCTCCTCTTGCAGTCGGCGGTCGCTGGTCAGAGTGGACGGAGTGGTCGGCGTGTGACTCTCAGTGTGGAGGTGGTGTCAAACGGAGGAACAGAACCTGCTCTGCTCCTCCTCCCAAGAACGGTGGGCGGGACTGTGAGGGCATGACCCTGCAGAGCCAGAGCTGCAACAGCGAGCCCTGCACCAAAGACATTGGCACGCAGACAGGTGGCTCTGCCACACAATAAATTCTGTTGTTGGTGTTTAAAGTCTCGTCTAATTCTACATACGTCTGCTCCCTGATTGGTTGTTCAGGCTGCGTCAACAGCATGGTGCTGGTGACTGAGGCGGACTGCCGGGCTGGCAGGGTAGAGCCCTGTCCTCCTACCTGCTCACATCTCAGCATGACCAGCAACTGCACCGCAGCATGTATACCGGGTAGGACACACAGGAAGTGATGGGGTGTCGAGCGATGTCAGTGTTTGCTTTGTGACGTCACGTAGACTGTAGAGTAACTTTGGGTACGTTTGTGAGGCCCAGAGGCCCATGGAGTATGTAGTTAGAGTATTCAGAGTGTTACACTGTTCTGTTTGTACGGCTAAATTCAGAACATTATATATGTTGCTTCTGAGTAGGAAATGCCATGCAAACAATGTTAAAGGTCTCCTACCTTGTGAGACAAAGCTTGTGTCCATAACACAAGACATAATACTGCCTCTTTTATATGCCTCAAATGTGCTGAAGAGAAATTGTGAATCGTCATTGTTATTTAGACAAACATATATAACCAACAGCTCTCTTGTTAAATTGAGTAAATATAAGCACTAAATCATTTACTGGAAGTTTCTAGTTGGACTAAATAATAAATGATTTTGATTCAGTGGGTTGGCAATTCCCTACTCTCTATTCAATTATTCAGACTACAAAGCAAAGCATTTTTCAAAGGCACAAAGCTCTATTGAAGCATTGCCGACATTTCCTCTGAAACGATAGCGGCTCATTCACTGGTGGCTGAAATGTTGATGAAGACTTGCGTGTCCTCTCCAGGGTGTCGCTGTGCCGATGGTCTGTACCTTCAGGAGGGGCGGTGTGTGAATGGCAGCCAGTGCGTCTGTCTCTGGGACGGTCAAACACTGCAGCCCGGACAGACGGTCAGCAGGGACCAGTGCACCTCATGGTGAAAGACACAGTCGCGTTGATGTTTCTGTTTCCCACTTTGAAAGCGAGCCTGGTTTTCACACTGTATTCTAAAATGCTAAATAACAGGATGTTTGCTTTCTAAAAAAAGACTCATAACTTTGGTTATGTTACATTTATTTTTCATGTCGTAAAGCAGTTTTCTCTGAGAAAGAGTTTTTCCATTTTAAATTACACTCGAGTTGACTGGACTGCTGCCTCATCAGTCCAGTGCCTCAGAGGAAAGCAATTCTGAATGATAACAATCTTTTGCCCCATCAGCGTGTGCATAGATGGACAAGTAACCTGTGACACCTCCCTTTGTGTGGCCTCCTGTCATTGGTCAGCCTGGTCGTCATGGTCGCCGTGTGACGTGACCTGTGGTCTGGGGCTCCAGCAGCGCTACAGGTGAGCCTGTTCACTGCAACAGATGAAGCATCGTACTCTCTGGAACTCCCTGTCAAAGGCTTTTCTCCACCGAATTCCACTCTTCACAAGACTTCTTTACACAACAGAACTGTGATTATATAGAATTTTGATATGATTATAATAATAATTCTGTACTTAATCAATCTTTATTTCCTCTGTTTGCTGTCTTTTGCAAACTCTGAACTAGGTGTCCGGTTTGCATATGTTTGTATAATCTTGCTTATGCTATTTTTTCACTGCTGCATCATTTACTGTTGTTACTGTAATTTAATTGGCATTTCATGTGATAATGTCCTTGTTATGGACCGATGCTTTTTACTGGTCCCACATGCACCACCCATTGCATTTGGACCAGGTGACTTTCTGTCCTGACTTTGTCTCCTCAGGTCTCCAGTGAACCCGGCTGGAGCCGGAAGAATCCAGCCCTGTCCAGGAGACTCCTCGGAGGCCCGCCGCTGCCCCGGCTCCTGTCTCCCTGGTATACCAACAGTTTTCATTTGTAACATTAGATTTATAATCCAACTAAATCCTGTGGACTGAAATGCTGCATTTTGCACTAAAATGAATGTATGTAATATATCAAAACGTACTTATTCTTCATTTTTTCAGCAGCACATACGGTAGACTTTACATTGTAGTCTAAGTCTAAGTGTGAAGAACTACTTTCTGAGCAACAGTTGCAGTGATACCTTTCTTCAAATACTTCAATGCAAGTCTCAGGCCAGTATGCTAGTCTTGTAAATCACTTGCATACTGAATGACTTTGTCCTCTTGTGCAGGGCTGCCTGATGGAGTCTGGGGCAAATGGACCAGCTGGTCAGAGTGCAGTAAGACGTGTTTCAACCACGTAGATGATGTTGGAATCAGGCGACGATTCCGCAGCTGCAACCACACGCTCACACCCTTCAACCACACGCACGCGGACTCGGCCTGCGATGGAGACGGCGAGGAGCAGGAGCCTTGTAACACTGTGCACTGTCCAGGTATCGCAGATGTAGACACACACGCAGAAACCACAACTTCTCTGGTCTCTCCACAAAGACGATGTGTTAGAGGAAAGACTGAAAAGCTGATTTTTAGGTGTGTATTTCCAGTGAATGGCGCTTGGTCGGCGTGGTCATCGTGGTCTCAGTGTTCATCAGAGTGCGACTCCGGCGTCCAAACGAGAGATCGATTCTGCAGTTCCCCCTCACCAACCCACGGGGGCAGCAGCTGCCCCGGGCCACACGTACAGACAGGAGACTGCAACTCCCACCCCTGTTCAGGTGTAATATGTGTGAATAGTATCACTCTATAGTAGAGCTGTGTTTGTGACTTATTTTTCTATTGAATTATCTTTTATCTTCTGATTGCTCGTGTTATTTCATCCACCTCGTTGAATAAAGGCCTGTGTGCACGTGCGACATTCAGTCCTCATTTCCTCTCCACGCAGGTGTGTGTCCAGAGGGCATGGTGCACATGACTTCAGCAGAGTGCGAGGCTCAAGGCGGCGCGTGTCCGCGGGTGTGTCTGGACATGACCTCCACAGAGGTGCAGTGTGTCACCGCCTGTTACAACGGCTGCTACTGCGCCCTGGGCTTCTACCTGCTCAACGGCAGCTGCGTGCCCCTGGCACAGTGCCCGTGTTACCAGCAGGGGGAGCTGTACCCGGCCGGTGCAGCCCTGCCTGTGGATGCCTGCAATAACTGGTACTGTCGGCCTGTGTTCAAGATTTATTTTATTGTGAAGTAGACAAAATGTCACCTGTATATATGTGTGTATACACATACATACATATCATTCTGGCTGTCACTGTCTGGCTGTGTGTCTCAAACAGTACCTGCACTAATGGAGCAATGGAGTGCGGAGCAGCTCCCTGCGCTGGTGAGGGATTTTACAGGAATTGCTGTCTTTAAGTTTTTTCTTCTCACCTTGTTTGTCTCCCATTCTCTCTGACTTTCTCCGCCTTTTCATCCTGTGTGTGTGTGTGTGCGTGTGTGTGTGTTCCTCAGTGGACTGTGGCTGGAGCAGCTGGACCCAGTGGAGCGCTTGCAGTCGAACATGCGACGTTGGTGTGAGAAGACGCTATCGTTCGGGAACCAATCCTCCTCCAGCTTTCGGCGGTCGTCCCTGCAAAGGAGACCGAGTTGGGATCGACACCTGCAGCATTGAACCCTGCTTTGGTGAGGAGAAGCACTTGGTTGCTAATGTTAATATATACAAAATCCAAAGACGAGTTGCTCGTTTTATTTAACTCATGTGTGCATTCAAAAAATTCCAAATCAAAATACAGATTTTAAAAAAAAAGGAATAAAGGAAATGAATAGAGTTGTGATGTGTCTGAAGGTGTACGGGAGCCATGGGTGGCGTGGTCGGAGTGCTCTGTGACGTGTGGAGGAGGTTACAGGAGCCGAACCCGTGGACCCATCCGAATCCACGGCACTGCTCAGCAGTTCAGCGCCTGTAACCTGCAGCCCTGTGGTAGAGCAGGACTTCATCTCTCTTTACCAATATTGTCATGTTTAATGTCAGAATTGTATAAGTGGGTACTTTTCGTGGCGGCAACCCGAGAACCCGGTGGTGGACACCGGAGGTGAGGGAAGCCGCCAAGCTGAAGAAGGAGACCTTCAAGGCCTGGTTGGCCCAGGGGTCTCCTGAAGCAGCTGACCGGCAGGCCAGAAGGGCTGCAGCTGCGGTGGTCGCGAATGCTAAAACTCGGGCATGGGAGCAGTTCGGGGAGGCCATGGAGAAGGACTTTCGGTTGGCCTCAAGGAGGTTCTGGCAAACCATCCGACGGCTCAGGAAGGGAAAGCAGGGCTTACCCCAGGCTGTTCTCAGCAGGGGGGGGGAACTGCTAACCCGGACGGAGGACATCGTCGGGCGGTGGAAAGAGCACTTTGAGGAACTCCTAAACCCGACCAACATGCCCTCTGCAGAGGAGGCAGCGCCTGAAGATCTAGGGGGAGGCTCACCCATATCCCTGGCAGAGGTCGCTGAGGTAGTCAAAAAGCTCCTTGGTGGCAAGGCACCGGGGGTGGATGAGATCCGCCCTGAGATGCTGAAGGCGCTGGACATAGTTGGGCTGTCCTGGCTGACACGCCTCTTCAATGTCGCATGGGGGTCGGGATCAGTGCCCATGGAATGGCAGACCGGGTTGGTGGTTCCCATCTTCAAAAAGGGGGACCGGAGAGTGTGCTCGAATTACCGGGGTATCACACTACTCAGCCTCCCGGGGAAGGCTTATGCCAGGGTGCTGGAAAGGAGGCTCCGACCGCTTGTCGAACCTTGGATTCAAGAGGAGCAGTGCGGATTCCATCCCGGCCGTGGAACAGTGGACCAGCTCTTTACCCTCGCAAGACTACTGGAGGGGTTCTGGGAGTTTGCCCAACCAGTCTACATGTGCTTTGTGGACTTGGAGAAGGCTTTCGACCGGGTCCCTCGGGGGTTCTTGTGGGGGGTGCTGCGGGAGTATGGGGTGCCGGACCCATTACAACGGGCGATCCGGTCTCTGTACGACTGCAGTAGAGCTGTGTCCGCATTCTCGGCAATAAGTCAGACACGTTCCCGGTGGGTGTTGGCCTCCGCCAGGGCTGCCCTTTGTCTCCGGTCCTGTTCGTGACTTTCATGGACAGGATATCTAGGCGCAGCCTGGGGGTGGAGAACGTCAGGTTCGGGGGTCTCGGGATCGCCTCTCTGCTGTTTGCAGATGATGTGGTCCTGTTAGCCTCCTCGGATCATGACCTCCAGCATTCACTGGGGCGGTTTGCAGCCGACTGTGAAGCGGCGGGGATGAGAGTTTGCACCTCCAAATCTGAGGCCATGGTGCTCTGCCGGAAACCGGTGGATTGCTCCCTCCAGGTGGGGACGGAGTGCCTACCTCAAGCGAAGGAGTTCAAGTATCTCGGGGTCTTGTTCACGAGTGAGGGTAAGATGGAGCGGGAGATCGACAGATGGATCGGTGCAGCTGCAGCAGTAAAGCAGGCGCTGCACCGGACCGTCATGGTGAAGAGGGAGCTGAGCCGGAAGGCAAAGCTCTCAATTTGGAGTCGAGCCGCTACTCCTTCGCGTCGAAAGGAGTCAGCTGAGGTGGTTCAGGCATCTAATTAGGATGCCTCCTGGACGCCTCCCACTGGAGGTTTTCCAGGCACGTCCAACTGGGAAGAGACCCCGGGGAAGACCCAGAACACGCTGGAGAGATTACATCTCCCAGCTGGCCTGGGAACGCCTCGGGATCCCCCAGAATGAGCTGGAACATGTTGCCGGTGAGAGGGAGGTCTGGGTCGGCCTGCTTGACCTGCTGCCACCGCGACCCGACCCCGGATAAACGGTGGAAAATGGATGGATGGATGGATGGTACTTTTCAAGAAGACCGCAGAATGTATTATACCACATCTGTCACATATTTATTGCACTAAATCATGGTTTTGCAATAAGAAGCCGGTAAGGAAAACAACTCAAGGTCTTGAAAGTGCTCAGACAGAGTTACAGAACATCATGGCCACTTCATTGACGTTGTATTTCAATGTTGTCATAGGAATGTTAATTCTAATACATTAAATCCTACTCAGTGAATAACATGTCCTCAAAAAATGTGATGTTCTCCTACCAACACGAGTGCCCCAGTGAACCTTCAGTGCAGAAGCTTGATTAAGTTTAGGAAAAGATCCTGGTTACGGTTATAATAAGTCTGTTAAGTGACCTGACTTCCTTAGAGGCAGCCCTTCGCGTCCTAGCTCATAATTACTTGGTTATATATATAGTGTGGATAACAGTGTACTTTTTAGCATGTAAAAAACGCTAAAAAAGGAAGGAAGAAAGAGGGCACACAGCATTTCTGCATAATTTGTGGCGCTGTCCTCTTAGTGGACCAGTCTTTCATTTAAGTCTTGATCCACTAAGATGTTTTTTCATGCTGAATGAAACCTCTGAACACATCTCTGGTACACATTAAAGTGGTGCTTTTGTGTGATTCTTTGTGGAGAAACAGTTTTACAGAACTGTTGACTACAAGCAACTAATCCATTAGTCAGCAAAATCGTATGCGTGTTAGCCGACCAAGAATGTCTTTGGTCAAGGACCGTCCTGATAGTTTATGTCAACACCAGTATTTAAAGATTGAATTCATTGCCAGATTGACTGATGACAACTGTTTTAGATGGAAACACTCGCTAGCCAACATGCGTGTTATTCCAGTGCATCATGGAGCTGTTGTTATATTGGACAACATCGGGTGTCCACATTTTATGCACAGATTCTTTTTTGATGACACTGAGACGTCTCTGCTTGGGCTCTGTGTGTGTTGCTGTGTCAGGAGACGGCAGGGTGTGTCCTCCAGGCCAGCAGTGGAAGCAGTGTGTGAGGGGAGCAGTGTCGTGTGCAGACCTCACAATGGACCTCAGCAGGAACTGCACGCCGGGCTGCCAGTGTCCACACGGGACTATCCAACAGGTGGGTGTGGTGCTGGCTAAACACAAACCATGTATATACTGTGATCATGGACATTTTGCTGATGGTGTCTTCATATCTCCAGGATGGTGTGTGTGCGCAAGAGTCCGACTGTCGCTGTCACTTGAATGGAGAACATCACAAACCAGGAGACATTGTCCCCACAGACTGCAACAACTGGCAAGTTAAACTGACTTTGTTTTGAATCGCTCCATGAGCCATAATGAGTGTGACTCCACCAGCATGTGCTTCCATTCATCAGCACATGAATAAGAGATGAGACAATGATTCATCTTTTCTTCTGTGGGTTTATATTTCAGCACATGTGAAGCAGGGAGGCTGGTAAACTGCTCTCGAGTCAGCTGCAATGGTAGGCAAAAAGTCATTGAATGTATCTTTTTCTGTGCTTTTTCATTCTTGTCAAATCGTTGTTTAACGAGGTCATTTTTCTGCTACAGTTACAAAAGTTTGCATGGCAATAATGTCTCATGCAAATCCTGTCTAAACCAATTAATGTAAGTCTTAACTGACTGAGAGTGAAGCCGTAGTGATGCAAAATAACATGAAAAAAAGAACAAGATGCAATGTTTCCTACTGCTCTCTGTCGTCTCATCTTTCTTGTTCTGTTCCCCCCCCCCCACACACACACACACACACACTCACACCTCACACTCCCTCCAGTTGATGGCCAGTGGTCAGTGTGGACTCCCTGGGGTCAGTGTTCGTCGTCGTGTGGAGCGGGTCTCCAGTCTCGGTACCGGTTCTGTTCCAGCCCCCAGCGCTCTGGCAGTGGCCTGCCGTGTGTGGGCCCTCACAGAGAGGACCAAGTCTGCATCACCGCTACATGTGACCGTGAGTTTGTTTTGTGTTCATTTGCATTGACAGACGTTCCATTTCATATTTAAATGTATTGGCTTTACATTTTCCACGTTGCCTGTATGCACATTTGGACTGGAATGCATTCGGACAACTTTTAGTGCAGTCAGACCGCAAGATCTGAAAGCAGCGTGAGCAAACCTACATTGTTCTGGCTGGCATGAGTCGTTTTTCAGGAGATTTCTTGCTGTAGTATTCATAACGATAAACAAATCGACAAAGAAACACACAGCATGGAGCAAAAAGGTATGGCTGTTTTTATAGTTTATTCCAAGAAATAAATAAATAAAAGCCCAAGTCCATCAGGTAACATTTCATATTTGGCTTACATCACTCATTCACTCATCTTTATTTACTGTTTATTATGAAGGATTATTTCACCATGATGTGTTGGCTCTTTCCAGGTGACGCGGGCTGGGGCCAGTGGAGCAACTGGACGGAGTGTACCAAGTCATGCGGCGGGGGGGTTCGAAGCCGGAGGAGAGAGTGTGACAGTCCCAGTCCAGAGGGGGAGGGGAACTACTGCGAGGGGCTGGGAACTGCATTCCTACTATGTAACACTGACCACTGTCCAGGTACGCTCACAGAGAATGGTCCACATGTGCAGTTTGAGTTTTGTTCACCAAACAGCCAATGCAGTGTGTCATTACGTGTGTGTTGTCAGTGGCGCCATGCTCGCAGGTGCCAGGCACAGCGTTCAGTAGCTGTGGTCCGTCCTGCCCGCGCTCCTGTGACGACCTGGCTGTGAGTATCTCCTGTTTCCACCCAATACTCCTGCTGTAACATTAAGAACTCTGGTGGTGACTTTCTTCCTGTCCCTCAGCACTGCGAGTGGCAATGTGAGCCTGGGTGCTACTGTACAGGGGGGAAGGTCCAGTCTGCTAACGGGACAGCCTGTGTAGAGAGAGAAGACTGTCCCTGCATGGACCTCAGCACCGGACACAGGCTGCAACCAGGGGAGACCACCGAAGCCCCGGATGGATGTAACAACTGGTCAGAATAATGGAGCACATGCTACACATGCATGTACACCACAGTTACATTTAACAGAGAGACAGCCAGAAAGAAGGGACAGAAGCATAATTATGTTGTTGTTTCCTCTTTGTTTCAGCACCTGTGGGGGTGGGAGGCTCAACTGCACCAGATACCCCTGTCCAGGTGAGTAAGACTAGCTGTAAGTCTCCGTATGTATGTTAAACCAGTGATTCTCAACTGGTGGGTCGCGGACCCGTTTTCAGTGGGTCGTGGGCCTGTGACTGACAAAAAAAAAAAAAAAAATGTGATTTTATTTTGAAGGGCATTTTTTATGCAGCGGAATTATTCCAGCATTTACGGCACTTGTTCAGCGTGCAGGAAAAACACCGACCAATGCGTTGTGAATCACATCACGTGATGCAGCTCAGCCAATCAAATATGGGTATTCTGAGAGTTTCCTGACTTGAGTGAGATGTACACACACCATGACACACGGAGAGAGACGAGGACAGAGAGCAGAGCAGGACTATTGACTTGTGAAAGTCAAATCATAGGACGATTTCCAAAACAGAAAACGGCCAGAGAGACCAGAGTCATTAGACTCTGGACAGACTCATAGAGGTGAATTCTTCCAACACTCATTTCTCTTTTTAGAAGATGAGATAAATATAATATTGTGGCCTTTCAGTGAAAATAATTTTTCTAAAATTTATTTCGTTACGAAATTTATTCTTTAATCCAGCTGTTATTTTACTTGAAATGAGAAGAACATTTATTCATGTATTTCTATGCATTATTTATAATCCATCCAGTTACATTTGAAAAATTAGAATAATATTTGTTAAAATATAAATTGATGTGTACTTTCTTTATTTGATTTGGCAGTTGTTTACTACACAGAGATGTTACTACTACTAGACTTCTTGAATATAGATATACCCAAATTATATATATATATATATATATATATATATATATATATAAATAATTTGGGTAGTGGGTCGCGGCTTGTCATTAAGGGGTGATGGTGGGTCCCGCAGCCAGACCAGTTGAGAACCACTGTGTTAAACAACACTTAAAACTGGCTTTCTTTCTTTGACTGAAGGTCAAACTCACCAACACAAGAACACAATCAAAATAAGAACTTATGATAATAATAATATGCGTGTAGGAAAATAAAGTCTGGGTTTGGGAAGGCCATAAATGAAGATGTTGCATCCTTCTGGGTGTTTCCAGTGTCAGGCGGCTGGTGTGACTGGTCAGAGTGGACTCCGTGCTCCAGGACCTGTGGGGCAGAGTCGGTGTCCCGCTACAGGAGCTGTGGCTGTCCTGAGCCCAAGGCCGGAGGAGCGGCCTGCCCCGGAGAACAGGAAACACACAATGGGGTCGGAGTTCAAATTCAGAGACAACCCTGCCCTGTCATCACCTTCTGTCCAGGTATCACTGGTTCCTCAGCCTGTCCTTATCAAAAATGAAGATGGAAAAATTCACATTTTATGTCACATGTCTCTGTCTTTTTATCATCTTCTGATGAATATAACGATACGTACTATCACACAACCTTAGTTTGTGTCTCTCTGTTCATCGCTCTCTGTGTTCCTTTCCTCTCTCTCCCTCTAGTCCACGGTTCCTGGAGTCCGTGGTCACCGTGGTCGGAGTGCGACGGGTGCGCCGGGTCGTCCACCCGCACCAGGCAATGTAACAGTCCTCCCGCCAGGTTCGGCGGGCTGCCCTGTCTCGGAGAGAGCAGGCAGAGCCGCGGCTGCCATGACAACATCACCGTCTGCTCAGGTCAGCAGCGTTAGGGATCGTAAATTAATTGTGTATTTATTTTATTTTGAAAAGCACTCATGTTTAAAGGGAGGTTGCGGGATAAAAATGGAAAGCAAGAGAGGCCTTACAAGAAACAAGGTGGCAGCCCTCAGCATGTTCATGTCTCCTCCTTGAGTTGAATGAATAAAAGTCAATGCTGTTTCTAGTTTGCTTTTATTTTGCCACAAACTCTGTGGAAACATACTAGAGCGTAACACCCCCCTCCATGTGTTGATTCTCTTCAAACCGTACTCCCCCTGCGCTCTGCAGACTGCGGTGGAGGCCAGGAAGAATGGCCTTGTGGGAAGCCCTGTCCGCGCTCCTGCTCTGATCTCCACGGTGACACGGAGTGCGTGGACTCCCCTGGGTGCAGACGGACCTGCGGTTGTCCGGGTGACATGGTTCTGCAGGACGGAGTGTGTGTGGCCCGGGAGGAGTGTCGCTGCAAATACCACAACAGTTCTGCTGGTGGTTATATCCGTTTGTGTGAAAGTTGCTGTTGGAAGTGTTTACGTTGTTGTGGTTGACTGTGTTGGACGAAGCAGAGATTAGTCTAATCAGTAGATGTTTGTCTCTGATCTAGTGATGACATTCAGCGGTCTAGATTCCAGTAATGCATCATGGGTATGGCCCGGTGGATCTGATTGGCAGTTTGCAAATCCAGGAGACAGCATCATCAGTGACTGCAGAAACTGGTACAGTACAACCGAATAGCTCTGTAACATTTAGATTCTTAATCAAATTAAATCTGTCGACATAATACATCATTTATTTTAGGTGTCTTCATGTTTTTTTGCCATCTCTCTCACTTTATCTCAGTTCCTGCGAGGCCGGGGTCCTGCAGTGTCAATCGGTCCCTGGTTGCTATGTTGACGGTGGCTGGAGCCAATGGGGGTCCTGGACTGAGTGTTCAATCTCTTGCGGAGGAGGAGTCAAGTTCAGGAGACGCCAGTGTGATAACCCGTCCCCCCAGAGCAGTGGGAGGGGCTGCCTGGGAGTCGCTGAACAGCAGAAAGACTGCAACATACACCTGTGCACAGGTAGTCATGTCTGGCCAAGGCAGCTCACACCTTGAGCTTTTAGACTGAGACACAACTTTCAGCTTCACAGAAATCTGAAAGAGGAGCTGAGTTCATACATCAGCCTTTAAAACAAAGATGCTTTCTTTAAACTTTGAACAACAAAGTCCTTTATGTAGTAGTGTGGACTATAATACAAAATGAGATATCATTTATAAAGAATCTTGTTTTTTTATGTGTTGTTTTGTGAGTTGTTGTCACATCTCGGTGTGTTTTTGCTTCCAGACTCGGTGGGCCCCTGGCTCCCCTGGTCTCAGTGGTCCGAGTGTTCGGTCAGCTGTGGTGGAGGACAGCAGTCCCGCTCCCGTCTCTGCAGTTCTCCACCCTGCAGCGGCCTCAGCCGCCAGAGCAAGACCTGCAACACCCAGGTCTGCCTCGGTGAGTCCTGGTTCCGTCTGCAACATCTGCAGCTGTTGCATCAAAGCTATGACAACTATAAGATCCGGGGTAACTTGGTAAAAAAATAAGAAAAAAAGCTTTTGTGTATCTTCAATCTGCGTCTCGTCATTGTGCAGAAGTGGGCTGCCCTCCTGGCAGGTTGTACAGGGAGTGTGAACGAGGCGAAGGCTGTCCCTTCAGCTGCGCTCAGGTCAGCGGCAGAGAGGGCTGCTACTCCGATGGCTGCGAGGAAGGCTGCCACTGCCCCCCTCACACCTACCAGCACCACGGTGTCTGCCTGCAGGTGGGTTCCCTGTCATCTGAGCAACTTCAGCATTCTGACTTATGAGTCATGACTCATGCATCTTAACAAACGCTAACATTCAACCTCGCAACACAAAAGCAGGAAAAGTCTTATTTTACATTGAAACAAATGTTTGTAACATGGTTCTAATGTGTGTGCTTTAGGAGTGTCCTTGTCTGGTGGACAAAGAGTTGATGGCCTCTCTGCAGAGTGTTTCTGTCACACCGGTTTCGTCTCTGCTCCTCCATAACATCTCTGAGGGAGCGGAGCTTCAGTCCGGAGACACACTGCTCCATGACTGCAGCACCTGGTAAGCAGAAAGTCCCACATACGGTCCCACACTGCTGACTACACACACTGTCATCTACTGCAGGGCAAGTAGAGGGTACACTCCTCAGACCACTAGCCCCTGGCTCACTCCCCCCCCTCTCTTCTGTAGCGGCTGCGAGCTTGGCAGGTGGAACTGTTCCTTGGAACATTGCCCGGTCAACGGAGGTCTGTCCCCCTGGGGCTCCTGGAGCCCCTGCTCGCTGTCCTGTGGAGGTCTGGGACTGAAGACTCGCTCCAAGAGCTGCACGCAGCCGGCCCCGGCCCACGGAGGGAGAAACTGCCAGGGGCCACGCCAGGAAACCACCTACTGCCAGGCCCCAGACTGCCCAGGTACAGGAGCTAGTTTAGGTAGAGTAGATAGGTTCTGTATGTAATGAATGTGTATAGAGATGGAGTAAAAGAAGAATGGTGTTTTGTTACAGCTTGCAGGTGAGGGAGATTGGATGTGCTGTGAGACTAAGTGTGTCTACATTGAATGTAATTACAGATGTCATTTCATTATAAAGGGCTACTGTGTATCCTTCATTTGTATCCATCATGAATAACAGACAGTACATACTGCCAGCTTCTTGTTTGTGCACAGTACTAGATGGTGAAGCTTGTACTGATAATGAATTGTTGCTTGATGTTGGCAGTGATTGTCGGTCCTACAGAAGAACCAGTTTTACCAGGTAAAGTTTCCCTTCAAACACAGTTTAATACCAGTTAGAGTCCACTCTGTTGTTCATTTACAGTTTTTACTGAATTGCTTTTTCTCTTTACTGGTCTTTGCTATTTATTTGTCTGTATGGTACATGGTATTGTTATTACGTCAGCTACCATCTTTTCCTTCACGAGACAGAAAAGTAATAATTGAAATGGCTTGTCCGTCTTTCCTGCTCGATCTTCTTCAGATGAGGATGCTGGCTTCTCTCCATGGTCATCATGGAGTCCCTGCACTAAGCCCTGCACGGATGCCCGCAGCCCGGCCACAAAGTCCCGTCACCGACAGTGTGTCAGACCCCCCTGCACTGGAAGCTCTCACCAGGAGAAGGCCTGTAACCTGCCCCAGTGTACAGGTCTGACCGCTCACGTTATCTCTCTCAGGGTCTCTGACTTTCCTTGCAACGGTCAAACATGAACTTCACAAACCATTAGCTCGCTGACATTGTGATCCAGTTACTTTTAAGAAAGGAACTCAACTACCAACACTTCAGTAGCTCATAGTAGAGCGCTGTAGTTCCCAGTTGTGGATTGAGGTGTCTGTGTGAACTAAACATTACACAAGGCACATAAAAACAAGAAAACTGCCTTTCTAATGGCTTACATCAGACAGCAGGATGAATTATTCAGATATGAGGAGCCTGTGTGTGAGAGAGCACATGATGAAAGTAATGTTCAGCAATCCGCCAGTCAATTCTCTACACAAACACTTTCATAACATCTGCTTGGTTTGTCATTCACATGCTTATCTCAGAGACCAACCCATTTCTTTAGTGGAGTGTTTTATCTACACTCAGCGTGACATCAGAAGAGAATAGTACAGGCCGGCTGCATTATTTAATAACTTTGTTTGAGGAATGATGTGAAGTTGTATTTGTACATAAGCTCTGATTCATCATGTCTAACCAGGAAGTAGGCAGCTGAAGTGTTTTTCTTCCAACAGAGGGGGTAAGATGGGAATACCATCAACCAAAACAGTATTATACCCTGTCTGACTGTTAGGAGATGATATCGGTTATGAATAAAATCCTCATGGTTAAGCCATTATTCAGAACGTATGCCTCAACTCAATAAACAGCTCATCATGTGACTACGTTTAGAAGGAGCTCCGTGTAACGTTTTCACTTTAATGAATAAATATTGTGAAATTAGTGTGAATATTTACTGCAATTACAGGTGAATAGAAAAACAAGATCAAACACCAGCATTTACAGCACAATGAATTAGCTATCGGGATATTCAACGACTACATCGAGCAGTCTTGTGTCTTCTGTAGATGGAGACGAGGATTGTGTCGGGGCAGACTGCGCGAGGAGGAACTGCTTGTGGAAGGAGTGGGGGGAGTGGAGCTCCTGCTCGCGGTCCTGCGGAGTGGGTCAGCAGCAGAGGATCCGCACCTTCCTCAGCCCCCGGACCAACGGCTCATGGTGCGAGGACATTCTGGGAGGAAACCTGGAGAATCGCTTCTGTAACATCAAGCCCTGCCGAGGTCAGCCTGCTGTTGATCATGTAGTTCAGATAATTCACATTCACGCCTGTGCGTCCTGTCGTGAGCATAAACAGTTTAGGGATTGTCACGCTTCACCGTTTCATGTCCGTGATAATTTACTTGATTACATGATTTACTTTATTGTAGAATCCGTCTGCACCTGAGACTGCTTTGCCACAAAATAACAACTTTTTAGTTTAAGCAGACATGATGTTTGTATTCACATGGAATGAATAGGAAAGAGCAGATTGAGATACCACTATGGGCCCATAGTGACCACTCACTGTACATTGTTATCAAACCAATAGAAATGATGGCGAATGTTAAAATAACAGCCAAGTTGTGATAAAGTGGAATGATCATGTAGTGTGAAACGTGAAAACACACTGGTGTTCTTTGTGCTTGTGTCCGTGTGTGTGTGTGTGTGTGTGTGTGTGTGTGTGTGGACGATGTAGTGGATGGAGGTTGGTCTCGCTGGAGTCCCTGGTCTCGCTGTGATAAGCGCTGTGGCGGCGGGCGCTCCATACGCACTCGCTCCTGCTCCAGCCCTCCGCCTAAGAACGGAGGGAAGAACTGTGAAGAAGAGAAGAACCAGGTCAAACCTTGCAACACCAGACCCTGCGGTGAGACACTCAACACACACACACGCTCGTTGAGTTGAGATTGCTATGACCCCCAAAGATAGTCCATCCTGTGCAAAGACCAGTGCTCATTTATTCAGCATATTGCTATTTTTCCAGATGATGCTTTGTGTTGAGAAAGTAAGCGCAGCCTCTGATTCTTGGTGACGCACGTCATGCGAAGGAAATGCCTGCAGCATCATGGGAAAATGCATGACCTTCTGTTTGTGTATTGTCAGATGAGAGAGGCTGCCCGCTCGGCCAGGAGTTCGTATCGTGTGCCAACCAGTGTCCACAGCGCTGCTCAGACCTCCAGCAGGGCATAGAGTGCCAGGGCAACGCTGAATGTCAGCCCGGCTGTCGCTGCCCTGAAGGCAAAGCTGCTATCATTTTATTAACAGATAAGCGTGTGTGTGTGTGTGTGTGTGATGTGTGTGGTGTGAGGTGTGTGCATATCTGAGTGATTCTTCCCTAACATGTGTTGGTGCTGGTACTGAAACAATAAGCACCACAGAGTGTATGTGTGTGCATGTGTGCACAAGCTGTATTTAAATGAGTCTGGGTGATGTTAAATAAACCTGGTGAAGGTTCACTTCACTTGTATTACAGAAGCATGTAGAATGGTGTCTAACCCTGCATGTGGTAGATTAAAGGGTTTTGTTTCTGCTAAAGTTGACATTTGTGGGATGTTGGACTCGTGACCTCAGCCGTTCTAAACTCATGGTGATGCCCTTATAGGATGTTTTTTTTCCTTACAAAACGTGTCCCCATCAAAACTGTTCACAATGACATCTTTGGATTATCCTTAAACAGACCACAGACTTAGATGTTGCTGTTGTGTTATTTAAATGTATTCAGTTTCTTTCACCTCAACTGTATTGAATGGGGCCAGAAATCTCAAAACCAGAACTCAAAACAAACAATTGCTATTGATGTGGCTGATGCAGGTAGAGGTGGGAGACAAAATATGTATTTTTGTATTTTTTGGGATGAGAAACCCCAAAGCAGCTGCTGCAATGTGTCCTAATAAAACCCCTGTCTTTTCCTCAACATAACATAAGTGATGTGTGTGTTCAGGCCAGTTGCAGCAGGACGGGGTGTGTGTGCAGCTGTGGCAGTGTGACTGCGTGGACTCACTGGGACACATTTGGGCGGCCGGCAGTTCGCATCAGGCGGACTGTAACAACTGCAGCTGCTCAGACGGACAGCTCCTGTGCACCAACCACATCTGCCAGACCACCTGCATTTGGAGCTCCTGGTCCAGCTGGGCGCTGTGCAGCGTCTCCTGTGGGCAGGGCCAGAGAACCAGATACAGGTGAGGGGAAAGAAAATCCCAAATGCCTGTTTAGTGATTGAAATCCCCACCCTCTCAGGGAAATGTGTTTCTTTGAAATAACAAGTAAGCAGTAGAGTAAAGCAGAAGCACACTGCTGTGTGTCAGGTCTCTGGTCCCGGACACCGAAGGAGCAGATTGCCAGTTTGAGGAAGTCCAGCATAAAACCTGCGACCCGGGACCCTGCCCACCTCTCTGTCTGCATGATGACCAGGAGCTGGAGGTGGGTGACACCTGGCTGCAGGGCGAGTGTAAACAATGGTAAGATGGATGCACACATTTGGCTGATGACATGGTTTTGCAGCGTAAATAAAGAAAATAGAATTCTAAGAGTTCTGCTTTGTGTTTTTTGACTCCCAGCACATGCACCCCGGAGGGAGATTACTGCCAAGACATTGACTGCAGAGGTGGGTCACTGCAAAGACTAAGAGTAAATGTGCTTGAGCAGACGATATATACTCAGCTGACATTACTAGCTTACTTCTAATGAAAGAGAATATACACATTTACCTCTGACCTGTGACAGGGGACCAAACAAGTTGACTGTCATGCCGCCAAGTTTCCTTTAAAGATACATGTCCAATGACCAAAGCCTGTGTGTTGTGTCCAGTGGATGGTGGTTGGACCCCTTGGTCAGTGTGGTCCGACTGCTCAGTGACCTGTGGACGGGGTACACAGGTTGGAACCCGTGCCTGCATCAACCCCCCTCCACGTAACAACGGGTCTCACTGCAGCGGGCCGGACAGAGAGACCCAGGACTGTCTCACTCCTCCCTGTCTGGGTTCGTTCAGAAACGCCAAATCGATTCACACATTCACAGCCACGTAAATGATGATGACGTCATCGATCATGTTGACTCTCTCGTCTACAGATGACCTTTGCCCCTGGTTGGCATGGTCTCCATGTTCCCGGAGCTGCGGCGCTGGTTCGGTGTCGCGGCGCAGGGTGTGTGTGTGCGGGGAGGGAGGAGACGCGGCGTGTCCCGCTGAGATCGAGGCCGGGAGGAACAGAGAGGAGACCCAGCTGTGTTACGAGCAGCCCTGTGCAGGTACAGACGTAGCTCCGCACACGCCGCCACGCTCACTTCTGTGATTGTATTCTGAGGTCCTGTCAGTCGGATGATGTGAACTATTTCTGTGTATGAGCAACAGGATAATTAGGGCGATTTTAACAGATTCATAATTGACATTTGTAAATAGCTACAGTATTTTATTGGTGAACACAATGGGTCACTTCAAGGATCTATGAAGCAATGTTTCTATATTATGTCGCCCAGGTGTGAATCCCGGGCTAACCCGTCACTTAAATCAATATGCACACGTCAAATAATTTAGAATATTTACAACAGGAAACGGAGATATCAAGTCCACGTCTATGACTGATGTGCAGTCAAATGCTTAACTCCCTGAAAGAAAGATCATGTGAATATAGTGAAGTAGCTTGTAAATGTTACTAATATAGAAGCTACTTACTAAGATCATTTGAAGTAGTGATGAAGCTGTTCAAAGAGAGGACCCATCTCTGTTCTATAAACAAGTTAACGATGAAATACAAGACATGAACAAACAGGAGTTACTCAACGTACCACATTGTCCACGAGGAGATACAGTATTTAAGGTCAGTATATCCGATAAGTTTGCTTTCATAAAGTCCTCTAGAGGAAGTGGCAACTGTCCTAGTGTCTAAATGTCTCGTAGAACTGATGTCATGTCCTGCCTGTATGAAGTGGTGCACATCTGAGGTCATAATTCTACTTATACAGTATGTGGGAGCACACATTTACTGTGTATGTGCGCCTTTTTCTGTTAAGGCAGTACGATGAGACATTCATTAAAAGGCAGCCAACTCTCATGAATTATTATTGTATTTACATGTTGATATGCAAGTCAAGATCATGTATTTATTTTTTAAGGCGGGACAATATTGACTAAAATCTATTATCTCAATACGTTCTATTTACCTTTATAACAATATAAATAATGTAAAAATGTTCCTGATTATTCAGTGAAAGCTTAGTTGATATTGTGGTAAGATGTAAAAGGATGTTGTAACTGTTCTGAGTCCATTTATCAGAGCTAGATATCATATCTGTATTGAAGAGTGTGATGGGTACATTTATTTTAGTTTGCTATTCTATAAATCAATAAATAGATATATTTTCCAGCTCTGGCCTCAGATAAATTGAGCAATTGATCAATGCACTAAATGATTTGATATTATTGAACCAGATCATAGTGGTTGCTAATTAGATTGTAGCTGTACTTAAGTAGTGATGCCAGTGAGACGGCTTTATGCTGATTGTAAAGAGGAGGGCCTAATGTTTGGTGTATAAATAGATCTGTTACACGCTGATTAACTTAGCAGGACACTCAACTCTGGGTCACGTGAGCACAAGTCCAAGTGCTGCTTCACAGATTCTAAGTGCATCAGAAATAGCATGAAGTGCTTGTTAGAACCTGCGTGCACGTAGCAGCAGATTGGTTGATTTTGTTTCCCTCTGCAGGCTGCCCCATGTCAGAGTGGAGCGTCTGGTCTCAGTGCTCCTGCGCGTCTCAGAGGCAGCTGCGCTACCGCGTAGCTCTCTCCCCAGCCACCAGGGGGCAACAGTGCACTCCTGTTGAAACACAGAGCAGGACATGCAGTCTCAGTCGATGTGATGGTGAGGTAACACCTAATGTAAAAAATGACCTTAAGAACCGGTGAAAAAGGGTTCTGCCGATGTTATCTTTCTATTTCCCCTCAAACAGTCATCTGTGATACGGGTGGGAGAACGGTTCTGTCAGGATCCTTTATGTAAGTTTATGTGTGAAAACAGGTGGAGGAAAGTTTAGGCTGGTGAGATTAATTGTTCTCAGTGTTTGTTGTTGTAATATTCCCACTACCCCATGTTCTAAATAGGAATATAAGCATGGTGAGTTTTAATATACATAACTTGCTAACACACTACAAATGTACCTTGTGTTCAGAGTGCATGGAGAAAAGCATGGATGCTTTTTTCTCCTGATAAAACTTTTTCCCACCCTTCTTCTAGAGATGATTTTTAATTAGGAAATGAACAAGATTATCCCGGCAAAACTTTCTTTTTAATCTGTTCTTATGTCATAAACACAGAAGGGAAAACAATTCAGACCACACTTGAATGGATGAGCAGAATGTATTTCTGCTTCTGTACAACATGGACACACACGAAATCAATCAACACCTTTTCATTGTTCAAATGTGTTTGATCGAGTACAAGCGTATGATTGTGTGCATGTTGGATTTTGTGCATATTTATAATGTACACACTCTACTTCATGTCTCTTTTCTTGTGTTTGTAGATTGCAAAGCTCCATTTGTGTACTCAGCATGCGGCGCGCCCTGTGAGAAGCAGTGTGCACTGCGGGGCGATGGAGATCTGTGTGTGGGAGTCCAGGAGTGTACACCTGGCTGCTATTGCCCACAGGTGATCATTTCATTCGCCACTGTGTTCAAATCAGTATTCACGCTCACACTGGTTAACTCGCAGTAAAGCAAAAATCATTCCAATTATGTCAGAAGGTGAAAAGTTGTCCTCAGTGTGTTCACGTTTCTGAAAATGAGCACAGTAGGGGAGACCTGTCCTGATACTGTGGAGGTAAAGGTCAATGAGAAGAAGAGAGGCAAAGATATTCTGTCTGGTCAGAACGTTCCGCTCCTTCTCCTCATTGCATACTCTATATCTCTATATTTGCAATGTAGAGCACATGACAAACATTTCAAACCTAATGCTGACAACATTGCAGACTGCATGTAGGCATAGTTGCATACTGCTGGACTGTCTGTGTGAGACCACAGCAGAGAGATATCGGCATGAGTTTGGAAAGTGAAATATGCTGTGCTACATATCGTTGTCAAATACATCACCTTGATATGAGTTATGATGATGACAATTTTCTGATGTTGTTTGGGAGCATCCAGCTTTGATTTATTGCACATATTCCTCTCTGATGGACTGATATGCACATACAGCAGCAGTGAGGAGAGATGATGAAATATGGAACAGAAAGCAGATCACCAGAGGTTACCATAAGTCATTTCACAATCGCCATTGAATACTTAGGCCTGCAATAACAGATTTCTCTTGGCAGTGAAAAGAAGTTATGGCCACACAAGGTTGACATGGCAAACATGTATTATTTACACATCCAGCAACAACATTTTCATTTGGAGATGTGTTTATGTCCGCCTGAAGAATGTCTCTTACCTCCACCAACTCCTGAGGAAAATATCTGAGTCTTTAGCATATATATATAAAACTATTACTGCATCAGCTCTTGTTTTCCCTTCCAGGGCCTGCTGCAGCAGAATGGTAGCTGTGTTCCTGCAGAGCAGTGTGGCTGCGTCCACCTGGAGCAGCAAGCTTCAGGCCAACCACCCACACCTGTGACTGTCCCTCAGGGGGCCACGGTCACCATAGGCTGCAGTACCTGGTTAGACCCTGGCTGTTACACACATATGGAGCTACGGTGTCAGTCCTCCTGTGACACCAAAGTAGTTTCCACCTTTATAAGACAGAACGATTGTTTGTCTGGGATCTATGACTCAGTTTGACATATTGTGATTCTAATCTGTTTGTTGGCTGTTCTGTCCTGCAGCCTTTGCCATGATGGAACTCTGCAGTGTGACATGAGAGAGTGTGAAGGTAAGAAAGCAGCAGCTCAATGACAGTAATGCATGGAGCTGCTGGTTGAATGATGCCATCATCCTGCCTTTCCTTTCCTTCTTTCAGTCATCCTCAGCGAGTGGTCAGAGTGGACTCCCTGTTCTCCCTGTGTACCCTCGTCCTCCCTGCAACACAGCAACTCCCAAGCAGTAGTCATCAGTAGCAGTAGGATGGTCTCAACCCAGAGGCGTTTCCGGGCCTGTTTGGACCTGGATTCGGGTCTCCCGGTCTCTAAAGAGGAAGAGGAGAGCCAATGTCCAGGACCTCTGGTGGAGGAGAGGCTCTGTCCAGATGCCAACCTCTGCAGAGGTAACGGTGTTCGTCCAACAGGACAAAAGGAGGTTCACAGAGGAACCGAGTGGGTCCTTGTTCTTACTCCAGAATTGCAGTCAGTTCCTCAGTCTGCCTTTCTCAAGCTCCAGTTGCTCCTCGAACTCCAAATTGAGGGACAGTAATGCACGGGACGGTTTTGCTCCAACCGAGTTCCCCTCAGCACGTGGCAGCAGTTTGATACTTTGCTCCCATCAGAAGATTGTATGCAAACAACGCAGGCAACGAGCATTACATCACAGAACAAACAAATCACAAAGCGGGTCAGAGAGTGTGATTTCTCTTGGCAGGAGAGGGAAATACTTTCATGCCAAAAAGCTGCGTGAGTGGAATACAATGCAAATTATTATTTGATCAGCAGCATGGAAATTCAAAGTGCTTTACATAAGACATAAAAGGGCGTCAAGACAAGTTCTATAAGAGACACAAGCCAGTATAAAAAGATTTGAGAAATATAATAGTTCATAAAAGTTAATATTTACAGCGCAGTTAAACTCCATTGACAGATGTGAATAAATAGAGAGATTCGGCTGGAGAGACGTGAGAGAAAGACACAATTACAGAGCTGAGCCTTTTAAAGATAACGTGTTTAGGTATTTCTAAATCCTGCTGAAACGTAAGTACTTTAATTCTTGACACAATCTTACAGTTGCTTGTTGACCTGGTGATATGGTCACGTAAATCTGTGTGTCGTTCACGTAACTATGGTCGGACGTTTTGTTGTCCACAACCTGAGCTGGTGGGAGTTGGTTGGAGAGGTTGAACGGAGGAGGCCCGGGAATGGAGCCTTGGGGAACTCCACGTCGTTTCCGTTCACTCAGATGGGGAATTACAGACAGACACAAGACAAGTCGTCTCCATCCTGCAAGTAGGATTCATACCAGATTAGGAAAGTGACAGTTTGCAATATGTGGTTTGTGGAGCATTCAAAACAATCTCCAGAAAGAAATCAAGAGTGTGGGGACAAGTGTTCATTGTTCGTCCTGTGAATGTTTATTGTGTCAGTTCACTGCTGTCGCTTAAGATTAATAGTCACCATCAGTAGATAGTTTCAGAGCTTGCGATTGGTTTACACAGTGAGAAATGACAATGTGCATCCTCTCCACTCTATTTTCATTATTTCCCAAAGGAGTGAAAACGGAAAGAGGACTTGAGGAAAGGAAGAGTTTAATGTGACTGTCTCTGTGGGGATGCACACTGTAAGGTTGATTGGATTGAGTGTTGTGTGTGTGCAAGGAATGACTCAACTCCACCATCCCTCCATTCTTCTCTGGCCCCTCCCCTTTGGATATGAATGGGAATGTCTCTGAATTACCAGCATGCTCAATGACAAATCAGACATCTTATCGGCTCAAGTGTGCTTGTACAGAAGTCCATAAACAGTAAGCACGCTTTTGTTATTGCGGATGATGATTACAACAATTACACCTATTACAGCGGCCGCCGTGATAATTACGGTCATTTGAATTAGGACGAGAACAGAGTTGTTGGTTGATGATAATCGGTCTACCCCTTCCAGACCTGTGTCAGTGGAGTGTCTGGAGCGCCTGGACGGCCTGCGCGCAGCCTTGCAGCGGCGGAGTCAGGCAGCGCTACAGACGGCCCCTGGCCTCTCCTCCAGGACCCCGCTGTAAGAGCCAGCAGACGCAGACCCAGAGCTGCAACACGGGACTCTGCCCAGGTACAGCTGCTCCAACTGACTTAGATATTTATATTACATATCATCACAAACAGGGTTAAAAAAAAAGATGTTGTGGGTTCAGATCCTTTATTGCAAAGACTTTTGTTGCATGCCAACTGAATCTTTCCAATCCCTCTCTAACAATGACAAAAAGTGCCACAAAGTCACTTTCTTCGGCACATGCAGTGAGCTTTGCTTCTCTCTTTATTGATGAAAAGTGGGAAAGATTGATTTTCTGTGTGTTGCAGGTGAGCGCTGTGAGGATAGGGGGCGGACTTACCAAGAGAGCTGTGCCAATCAATGTCCTCGCAGCTGCACTGACTTATGGGAGCATGTGCAGTGTCTCCAGGGAGCATGTCACCCAGGTAATCTTTGTCTTCTAGCATTAACAGTAGCTTAGAAGAGAGCAATATTTTGTCTTCCGCTATTTTTACATTTCATTTCTCAGGTTGTCGGTGTCCGAAGGGACATTTGCTGCAGGACGGCCACTGTGTGCCAGTGACAGAGTGTCGCTGTGGTGTCCCATCAGGCAACGGGACGCTGGAGTTCACCCCTGAAGAGGAGCTTTCCGTGGACTGTAACACCTGGTGGGAACAGCTTTGTGTCAATTTTATTTTTAGATATGAGAAGTCAAATTTACATATAAGCGTGTAGAAAAGTGTGTCCAAATTGGTGTGTAATATTAGGAGAGGATGTCTCACATTAAGAGCAGACTTTCAGACTTTAAAGGCATTGAGGGGCTGGTATATTTGTCTCCAGATTACAGATATTTCGAGCAGGAGATACAGCTTTTATCTTACCTCTCCAAACACCCCTTCATCTGCAGCGTGTGTGAGAACGGCACTCTGGTGTGCACCAAGCTTCAGTGCCCGGTTTATGAGCCCTGGAGCCCATGGAGCTCCTGCTCAGCCTCCTGTGGACACGGCCAGATGACGAGGACACGCCTTTGCCAGGACCTGGAGGGCGGTCCTTCCTGTGCTGACACCACGCAGACGGAGAGCTGCGATCTGCCATCATGTCCAGGTTTGACATGGAGCAAGTACCCACACTAGTTAACTTGGTGTTAAAGGGGCACACATTTCAAGCTTTCTGTGTTATCACCTGTGTCCTCCCTCTGTCTCTCTCTCCAGCGGGATGTTTGTTGAGCGAGTGGTCACCCTGGACTGAGTGCAGCACCACGTGTGGCGGCGGGTCGAAGGTGCGGAACAAGACGGTCCTCAGAGAGCCAGAGCCTGGTGGGACGGCCTGTGTTGGACCACTTGAACAGCACACTGTCTGTAACACCAACAGCTGCCTACCTGGTAAACACACACAAACACACACATGGCTGGATATATTTCTACCAAGCAATATAACTCCTGAATACTCTTAAATTGAGTGGTTGCCAAGCAACTCTAAAGAAGCTTAATAAGTGGTATTTCAAGTTGGTTTATTCATAGCGCTATGCAGTCAAAGGTGTGAGCTCACATGTGGCTGAGACAGCCGGTTATGAAGACAGAGACTGGAGCGTGTACAAAGAGAAAAATCACACACATGTCTGCATATTTATGTATATATATGAGACATGATGTAATTCAGTGTGCGTTTATTCGTCTGTGTGTTGCAGAATGTCCTAGCGGGCAGGTGTTTAGTGACTGTTCCGGTTCCTGTCCATATTCCTGTGAAGACCTGTGGCCACACACTCAGTGTTTATCTGGACCCTGCACCCCTGGGTGCAGCTGCTCTCCTGGACAGGTCTGGACAACCTGTGTGTGCGCGTGAAATGGGATAGCTGTGATATGTGATGGAATTGAATCGTACCCCCGATAAGATGCGATTCGTTCTCGTCTCACCGTGTCCCTCATACTGTAGGTGTTGCATGAAGGCTCCTGTGTGTCCCACGCCGACTGTCCCTGTTCACCGCTGTCCCTGCCGACCGGTCACCAGCGCTGGAATGCCAGCACTGAGGAGATCACAGAAACTCGGCTGCCACCTGGAACGGCCATCCAGCACCTCTGCAACACATGGTAATCCACCACGCACGGTTTCATCCATTCATTCACCAAACATTCATTTAAGCCAGCAGGTCTGTAGAGTCATGACGTGGCTTTGAGTGTCCTAGTCCGGAGGCTGGACCCTCTGAATGATATAAAGGAGGCTCCTTAAGGGACTCAAATTCTAGGTGAACCTGTACCTCCTCTCAGGATGAGAGTTTAGTCAAATATTTTAAACCTTATTAAGTTCAGGCGACTAAAACTACTTGGTTAATGTTTTTACAGCACAGAACCTAAAATATGTCTTTGGACACGGTAGAACAAATTAAAGTCCTATAAAAACAACACATGTATTCCATTCTACTGGAGTGAAAGTGAAAGTGACCAAAGCATGTGCAACCATATGCACAGGGGTTCATGGCTCGTGTTGTTTTAACTTTGATAATCACTTTAGCAAAGATTTCTCTTTCCCAGCTCGTCAAACACAGACTCTTGTTCAGCGCCCGACGCTCTGAGGCATTAAGCATCTGTATGAGACGCACCAAGCTTTCAACTAAGTCCAATGTGAACCCACCAGCATCATTACTAGACGGTCAGAGCATCGGACGTGGTATAAAGAGGGAGGAAGTCTGCACAAGGCGGGATGAACACACAGTGTGGGAGACATGTTTGTGTCTCGTGTGAAACCAAGTCAACGTTGACTTATTTACGGTACTTTTGTTACGTAACGTACGTACTTAAGTGATCCCAGTTACGTAACGAATCTTGTTATTTGACCTTAAACCACACCCTTTACTAAGCCTAACCCAGTACTTGTAAAAGTAAACGCCCACAATCAGTTGACAGAGTTAAAGTGAGAATGTGATGCTTAAGCACAAGCACTACTGTACCACTGTCGGGTCATGGTCTGATTCATTAGTGGTTAATGTCCTACAATATCCCAAGTCATTTGACAAGGACACTTAAAAATTTAAATGAGATTAAAATCCCACTCAAATCATCTCTGAGTTAATTTGTTGTGGAGCATCATCAGAGTTAAATTTCATTCATACAGTCAACATCAGTCCAGTGTGGTGCTGTGATATCTGCTGTAACAGATAGTCTGGTATGCAGCAGACATGCTGTAAGTCATCTCGTCTTCCTCACCGTGACTTTGATACTCATTCAATAAGTCAGCTGCTGCTCACATGTGTGACGTGATGATTGCTTTTGGAGTATCAGTGTTCAATAATCTCCCCTCACTTTATTTCCTTCCTCTGACTCCTCTCTCTCCAGTGTGTGCCAGAGAGGAGTGTTCAACTGCACCGCCGAGCTCTGTGACGGTGAGTGATGCTCTGTCCCAGCTGTTCTTACCGGAACGCATGTCCCGCACTTTATTGGGCCCCTGTCTGTTAGCAGGGAAAGCACCGGCAACAACAACAATCATCTTTGGTTGAAGCGTCAGGGCCATGATAGATATGTCAGCCTATCTATAGTCGGTAACAGCTGCTGCAACAGTTGGCTCAAATACCTGAGCGACAGTCGCATCAATCACAGCACGCAACGGCCATTACGGGGTTTTTGTTAGGTACACACGTGATACCTTCTTGAACTAGCAGGGGGGGATGAAGATAGCGGGGAGCAGAGTGTCGCAAAGAGCAACCTTTCATATCCTCACAAGAGACTTGAACGTGTTGTTTTCATCGGCCATCATTCGATCCGCGGCGCCTCCTCTCTCCTCTGCATCTCATCGTAGTGAAGGAGAGCAGTTCTCATATTTTGAGAACTATTGATCGTGATAACGATTTCACTGAACACCTCCACAATAGATATTTGGGAAGCGCACTCTGGCGGGAACAGTGTTGATTGTTGCCTCCCACAGCGTTCAATAGAAGTTAAATTTAGGGGAGGAATACAGTAAGTCCATGTGGTAATGGGAGCACAATCAGCTCAATATCAACACTGCTTCTCACTCAGCACCTCATCAGCCTCATGAAAAAGGTTTCAATACGTGAAAACACCAGTAATGGACTAATTACTGATGGTGATCAGTGTAAAGGTACAAAATTACAATCATAACTCAGTAACACACACATAATTAAATAGAATATGAAATCAATTAAATAACATTGCCTTTTCAATCACCGAGCCAAATTCCTTGTATGTGTAACGTACCAACAGAAAGTAGTCCCCTGGCAATGCTTGTAGCTGATGTAGTGAACAGCAGTTAAGGAGCAGTTAGTCTCCAGCTCTCATATCGTGTCTGTGAATGAGTACACAGTATGTGAACCATCTTCTCACATGTTTTCTAGAGTGCACGCAAGCCAAATCAAAAGTAAGACACATCCTCACGTTAAACCGCTGATCGTGCGTGACTTCAGCAGGCCAATCAGCCAGCGAGTGGACCAGTAAGAAGATCCACATCGCTGTGCAATTCACTGCAGCAGTTACTTCTGTTGAATTAAAGTGCTTTGGGAGAGCTCACTTTGTTCTTGTCCTTTAACACAACAACAAGTTCTGTTTCTTTTTAAGAGAAGGAATGATACAAACAGCTGTTTTGTGTGAGATTAATGTTTTTAAAGGGACCCCTGAATGCAAATCTCAAAACATTGCAAGCTGCCTTTGGGGAGTCTTTGTCTAGAATGTTACACATGAAAGAAACGATTGTATGTAATCTAATGTTGACATTGTGGGTTTTGTTCCGTTGCCTAATTCAGCATTATTTCTAGTCGCTGGTGCCGTTAACGGATGGCTTTCATAAGAAGCAATGTGGGGACAATATGTGTGACTGTAGTTTCATCTGGGCGAGCTGAGGAGGAGCGCTCAGATGACAATTATTTTCCATGTGCTGCTTACTGCTGCAGGTAAGTGAATGTGAGACCTTGCACTGAGCTAAGTGTGATTATGTTCTTCTCACATCCCCCCAGTGCACTGCGAGTGGGCCAGCTGGTCCCAGTGGAGTCCCTGCTCAGCGAGCTGTGGCACGGGGCAACAGAGCTCCACCAGAATCATCCTGCAGCCCAGCCGGTATGGAGGGGCCCCGTGTGAGGGCCCCGAGCACCGCACCAAGACCTGCATGGCTCCCGACTGTGGTGAGTGCGAAGAGAGGAGATAGCGATGTTTTGTTTATCGTTGTGGGGAATAAACTTCGACTAAGCAGCTCACAGGTGAATATTGTAACAGTTCATTATAAGAGCATCTTACTCAGAGCTTATTTTTCCCCAGAGGGCCAACTGGTTTGAGCGGCGGTGAAAATAGAAAATCAAAAACACAGACAAGGCAATTAAATGCAACTTTTCATTAAAACAAAAAGCGGAAACAAGAAGGTAAGGACAGCCAGCTCCCTCAGACTAAAACAAAGGAGCTGCTGTTACAGTCACAGCTCAGCTCATCATATTATCAATTATAATGCCTCAAGTGCTTATGTTCCTCAATGAATTCAACATCCTGACCGTTTAATTGTGGTATTGACAGGGTCGGAGTGTTGACATCCAAAATCAATACCCTCTGTCTTTGTCACATTTAAGTCCAAAAAAGGCTTCTTGACTTAAAGCAATGATCTGTGACAGGACACTGGGACAACTCCACCTTCTTCTCACTATGACAGTATCGTCTGCAAATGTGTGTCCTGGAGCTGGTTTGTCCTGGTTCCATAAGTATCATGAGGACAAGCGTAAGATCATTCTAGCATAACCCTATTTGAGTGTTTAGCTTGCAGGTTCGTATCTTCAAACAGTTTATTTTTCACTTTAACGTTACAACAAGAAAGACCACAGGATGAGGACTAACACGCATACTGTCACCACTGGTTGGCCGTGCAGGTGGAACTATTAGACTCACTACAGCCCCGTCTACTTGAGAATGTAGAGAAACCCAAAGGTTGACAGGCCTGCCGTGTCTAGTGAAGCTTGCTACGCTGTAATTGGACAATAGACGTTTGGGGGGTGGGTTTAGTAAAGGATTTAATTAGTGTTGATGTTATGAATTGTTTTTAAAAAGTTGAACATAATTTGTAAGAGAGAGAAATGAAAAATGAAAGTGTCATGCTGATTGATTGTACCTTTTAAATGCAGTTTTCTGTCCACGCCCCCTTGTGATTCCTGTACTCCCTTTCCCCCACCAATGTATCATCATGATCTCCATCCTACCGTCTTCCTGTCTCACCTTCCCTCCTCTTTTTATTTTCTCCTGTCCTCCCTGACACATTTTCCCCTCATCTCACTCCTTTCCCTCTCCTCCTCCTCTTCCTCCCCCTGCAGCATGTCCTGACGGGGAGCAGTGGAGGAGGAGCGCGTCGGAGGAGCTTATGCTGTGCGAGCGGAGCTGCCGGGACATTTACTCCTCCTCTCCCGTCAACTGCAGCCACTCCGCCGAGGGCTGCGTGTGCCGGGAGGGGCTCTACCGCGACACCGGGGGCGTTTGTGTCATCCCCGCCCTCTGCCCCTGCCATGACCAGGGCATCCAGCGGGAGGTACACACTCTCTCTCTCACACACACACACACACACACACACACACACACACAGACACACACACAGACACAGACACAGACACACACTGGCTTACACCCAAAGTCAACAGACATCTGCTACCCAGCTGACTCTGCAGCTTGTAGCCATTGTTCTGCCTCATTGTGTGGCGCTTCTGAACCTTACCATTAGCGTGGCGTTTACGTTCCCTCCCATTGTGTTATTTACTCATAATGAAAGGCCTATTAGGAGATGAGTGACATGCCCCGTGGGCCACACTACACAGTGCCTCTCCAGCCCTCAGCCTCATCAATTATGCAGGAAGTGCCGTAGAAAGCCGGCGTTGGGACCTCGACTGGGCAAGCCTGCCGGGAATTATTTATGAAAGAGGGGATATTATAGGATTATAAGAATTAATCATACACTGACAAGAGGTCACGCGCCCTTGATATTTCTTCTTCGGGCCTTTCATTCTCTCTTTCGTTCTTTCTTTCCTTTCCCATGCCTCAGATTATCCCTCACCATTCCCTCTTCTGCTGTCATTACCCGATTCCTGTTCCATCCTTTTTCTTTTTATTCCCATTCTCCCTCCATCTTCCTCTTACCTTTTCTCCCTTCATCTCTGATTCTTCTCATCTGTCTCTTTCTTTCTTTCTTTCTACCTCGCCCTACTGCTTCTCTCTTCCTGTCTGTCAGCTGGGGATGAGTAATGGCCATATAAAGACTCTCTATCATTTTCTAATCGACTACCTCAAATGGTCCGGTGTGAGCCACAACGGCACTCCCTAGTTGGTGCCTTTGTGCGGGTAAAAACTGAGTATTGTTAATGATTTCTACAGCTAACACATACATAAAAGAAAATATATAATGTAGTCTGTATAATGCGTTGCCATAATTACAGCATCATACGGCCTCCACAACCTCAGTTATGCACAAGGGTGCAGCCAGAGCTTTAGTGGTTTCGCTGAAGATATCGATCCTGAGTGGTGACCAGCTGCACTTTATCAAACCTGCATTTCTAAAGTCTAGTGAGTGAATATGAGTGAATATTTGTGAGTGTGTGTGTGTGTGTGTGTGTGTGTGTGTGTGTGTGTGTGTGTGTG